ACTGAAGTGTAACACCAAAGTAAAATATCCGCATCAGATATTTTATATAAAAATGTCTCCATCAGAGTTTATTTTCGTGTTTCTCCATTCCCATCTTCTGAAGGGCATTGCACAATATTCCCATTTCACCTGAAATAGAGACAAAATTCCAATTCTGTTATTTGTGCCAGTGTTAAGCTTTTTAAACGGAATTACCAAACAATCATTTTGCAGTTTATTGGAAGAGCTATAATATTCGTCACCAGTCGTCACGAGAAATGTAACCCTATAAATAGAGGGGAAACGGTCTAACTTAACGAATATTAATTTAATAACCAATACATTAAATATCCATTTTCTCCAAATTGGCTTTTCTGCCAAATTCAGCCAGTTCCTCCTCATTCGTATTTCAATGAATCGAGGAATTCATTGGGACGGGACCGGATTACTGTTATAATTATTAAAATCGTTAAAAATACATCCGATTGTGAAAGATAATGAGGCGCGTCTTGCTCATGTTGTCGGTTTAATCTGACGAACCAAACCTGATCCTTTTTTAACGCGTGTCGGAATCAAAACGGCGCTCCTCTTACAGCTTCGCACAAACACAGCCTATTGAGGCCGTTAAGCGTCAACAGATGGCAAAACGACCTTCCAAACCGATGGAGGAATCGCGTGCGCCTTGGTTTTTTAGCACGTCGGACAACATACTGTACCTCCAATGCTGTCCGCCAAGTTCTTGAGCTGCTGCATGCTGTCCAGCACTTCGATGCTTTGTGTGTAGGGGTTGTAGCGCACCGAGAATGGTCTGGGAATGGTAGCAGCAAATTTCCTGCCACAGCACGCAAGGAAACAGTCATGAATGTGTTTCTTTCAGATGAACTGATTTCACTTGACTTGGACTCAGTACAGATCAATGACTTCACGAAGACCCGGGTTAAGTCAATCTCTTGAGCCAGTCCCAATCACAAATTACTGGCATACAGTAATTACCACATGTGCTAAACACCTCAATCAATGGATCCATCTACTTGTGTAAATATTAGGTGTTGGCTAAGTGGACCCAGTGGTTCAGGTGGCTATGAGTTTAAAAGTCAGGATTTGCTCGAGCTGACAGTTTTGTGCCCAATGGACACTGGCTCTCAAGCACTTACTCTAGATCGATGAGCTGTGATGACTTGTGTATCAAGGTATGACATAAAATGGGCTCAAGACTCGGTTTAGACAGAAAGTTATTCTGGCTGTAATTACTGCCTTGTGACCTCTGGCTTGTGTTTCACTGTTGATCCTTAGGAAACCTGCTGGGTTAACATTGTCAAGTGCCTTTCAAGACTACAAGTGTTCAGCTCCTTCTCCCTGTCAGTGCAGGACACCCCCTTCAGCCCCAAAATGTATCTGGTCGCTCTTCTCCGGACTGATTCCAGAGTGGCAACGTCATTTCTACATTGTTGTGTCCCACAGTGTACATACACTATTATTCTAAGTTAGATCTTACTAGTGCATTATACAATTTCAACGTAACATCCCCCGATTAACATTCTATACATTTGACCATATACCCTAGAATGTTCTTGTCTGATACACTATATGACCGTGCCATAACCCATTTTACTGACTGAGCTGTGAGGGTGGGGGAAGGGGAGTTACAGACAGTGGTGGTGAAGGACTGGAGGGAGGTCCTGCCCACCTGTGTGGGCTCAGGCCAGGACTGTGGTTTAGGAAGTAGGCGATCAGCCACACTGGGGTGGGAGAATGGACTTAATCAAGCCCATGGGTCCACTGAGGACTGTAGTTGCATCTCAAGATGAGCTGGGCTTGGTGTGTTGTTGCATTGAAGGCCTCACCTGAAGAAGGCTCCACGGCCGAAACATTGCGTTTTCTTTCTTCTCTTTTTAGCAGGGAATAAACCTATTACGTGTATATTTTTTTATCTTTAAATGGTTTCCCTTGCACGGGCACTGTAAATGCACTGTCGTAGGATTGGGATTTTAATATAAACAGATCTACACCCTTGAAAGTTGCATTTAGGGAGCTCAACACAGAAATTAACACACGAATTTGTTAAATTTTATGATGCTGCCAATCAATTTAAAATTGTTACTGAGATTTACTAAGCAGTCTGAGAAAGGGGACTGCAGTTCCCGTGTCTTTTCTGCAATGGATTGAAAACACCGATATCCAGAGACACCTGTCCTAAAATAAAAACATATTGTGGATAAATGGCAGGATCTACCCCCTTTTTTTAAAATTCTAATGCTGATGCAGCAGAAACAAATATTCTATCCAGAGAGAATAACAAATATGTACAATCACAGCAAATTCTGTGGCTTTTTAAATATTCTTTAAATTAAAATGACCGTATTTTTTTTAGTTCAGGTGGGGAGCTGCGTCAGCATGCATAGGCTGCAAAGGAACAAGTAAAGGCTTATTCCCTGCTGAAAAGAGAAGAAAGAAAACAACGCTTCAGCCTTGGAGCCTTCTTCAGGTGTGAAAGAGAATTTAAGAAATTCTGAATTAAGAACAAAATCCCAAACTTTGTGAAAGTACTGTACTGTAACTGAAACAACTATCATGTTGTCAAGAGTTCATGTGAACTGAGATGTGAAGCTGCCCTTCCTGCTCACTAGTCTCTGTGATGACTGATGTAATGTGATGTAAACCATCCCAAAGTTGAAAGCAATATTTCAATTGCATTAAAAGAGATGTCTTCACAAGCCTGCTTGTTTACAGCGCAACAAGGCCACTTCACCTCACTGTTTTGTTGCCTCGTTCTGAATCGCAGACAATGACGGCAACATGGTGCTGCGCAGACCTGGAAATTTAGTGATGTAAATTTGAGACTTTACACGTTACTGTGTACATTTTAATTTAATAGTGGTCTGAAATGCACTTATCAATGCAGATTCTTTCTAACCCTGAAATATAAAAATAGCGTTGCAGTTCCCCTTTAATGAGGTAACTGAATTAACAATCAACTCCTAGAACAAAGAACAAGATCAAATCC